GGGAATTATTAGAAAAAGGAAAGTTCTGGTTAATTTTTCGGGAATTTTTTAGGCCTTCTAGATTATCTTGGAATCATTACACGAGTCTTGTGAGCTTTAGTTTGTCGTGTGCTGCGAGACCAGTTATTTATTTTGACCGTTGTACATGTAACAGGGCTTAATTCTCGTACGATAATCGTTATCGTTACTCGTGTTTTTCATTGTTTCTTGAAATTTCCTAAAGTCCTCAACGGGAGGTTTTGTTTCGGTTTTGGTTCTCGAATATTTGTTGGTGTTAAGTACTTTTTCGTTCATTTCGAACGTCTTGTGAAAATGTTTTCGTTTGTATTCTAAAAAAATATGATTTCTCTAACAAGGTCATTTGTCCCGTGAGCTCAAACATGCCTTCAAATAGGGTATTAAAGAGCGTGTACTTGGGGCTGAGTGAGTTAGAGGAGAGAAAGAGTCCCAGATAGAAAAAACAAAGTTCCTGAGAAGACTCCCAGTACTTCTCGCTTGCCCACGGTGTTCGAGCTAGTTAACCCCCAAATTTCCAACGAGATTGGTGTAGAACCCAAGATTAATTAAGGACGTAAGAGAGCCCACGGTTGGCGAAGAACCAGAAGACTAAAGAACAAATTGTAAATGGAAAATCGCCGTTATCAGTTTTGTTAGAAGAGTATCTAACCAGTGGACTCATGATCTCAACTCTGATTTCAACAATTAGCAGAGGTAACAACTGATTCGATTGATACAATTTTCCAAGGCTCAAGGAAAGGGGAAAATCATCGTGTTTCTACAGAAATTTATGCCTATTTTCCCTTTTTTTTTTCTTTTCCAAAAACGAAATCTAGCTTTTTGATAGTTAACTTTGACGTGACTGTCTTCTGGGGCTAATGATGACCCCTCGATATCCGCCAATGCTATGCATGACTACGGAAAAGTGAAATAACGATATCTTGTTTCGCTCAATTTTTCCACAATAATCTTAAAACAACAACGGATGAAAGTTTTTTTTTTAAACTGAAAATTTTCTTCAATGAGTCCAGGAACCACTTTGAAATAGCCTTATCCTTCCGAGAGAGTACTTCGCTTACATGAATATCAATCCATGTAAGGCAATCACCAGAATTACTTTCCTAGAAAAATAAGCAAGAATCGTGCTATGCACGTAAAAAAACGTGGCCAAAACAAATCGTTTTCCGCATAAAACTTGGCTGAACAACTTCAGTGTTCCTTGGTTAATTTTCAGCGACAACTTCAAAAACATTCATCTACTGTTATAACTTCCTAAAGTAACAATAGCAAAATTACATGCATCACCTTGAATCGTACGTAGATAGCAAGCAAGAGAAATTTCATTGTGTTTGTTCTATCTATATAAATCATGACTCCTGATTAACCCACAAGTTATCATAATTTCAACTACCAACTATAAATTTACATAGGTGCGTGCTCTCTACTTTTACCATAAAATCGAGATTCAAATCGCATTTCATGTAACTACATAGTATTTCTTACCTCTGGTGTCAAGAGGATAACTTTCTATCGAATTAAAAGAAACATTTCAAACTTGGGAACAAAAGACTGCGAATCACCAATTTGAAAATGTACATCGGTATGGTCGCATAAGTTTTCAATCTTACAAACTTGTATACCTAATTGAAGAGTATCCTTGAAACACTTCCAAAGTTTTACCAAAAAACGGCTTAGTTCCACCATTATAATTCGGACAGTCCTATTCGAAATGAATGCGCATAGGTTAAAAATAATTACTCAGGACTATGCACAAACGCACTAGAGTCGGTTCACGCAGGATGTCACCTTCATCAATCATATCAGAAGACAATTTTGTCAGTTGTCCGCAAGGGCAGGCTTATTTTCGAGTACTTATACGTATTATTTTCAAGTTCCTCAGTTCCACAGCCTTTTAGTTCATCATTATTTAGTAAGTAAACAAGCCTTAGTCCCCACAGCCGCCACAACCACAGCCACCGCATGACCCACACCCACCAGATCCACCGCCGCTACCGCATCCACCACCAATTGCGCATCCTCCACTAATTGCACATCCTCCGAAACCTCCACAGCCATCGCATGACCCACACCCACCACATCCACCGCAGCTACCGCATCCTCCACCACTTGCACATCCTCCACAACCTCCACAGCCTCCACAACCTCCGCAACCACCACAGCCACCACAGGCACCTCCAAGTTGGTGCTTAATATATGCGTTGCTGGGCACAGTGGTGCCATAGAACCCTGCGGCTACTACCAGCATTAGCTCTTCACAACAGATTCTACGAGGTTTGTCTTTCTGGCTTGAAACCATGGCTGATGGCCTCGTGTAGTCGGTAACACCGCTCGAAGGGTTAGGCTGACACAGAAGATGAAGGACAGCTATAGAGAACCCCAGTGCAATGCTTTCTGGGACGGCAGTTACCTCGGATGGAAAAGAGATCACTCCAGTTCGAAGGTTTACGTAGACTATCTCTTTTTCGCTTAAAGGCACCTTGAAGTTTTCTCCATGGTTCTGTACAACTTTCCACTCTTGTGCTCCGGACACCGAGAAGAACTCGATGTTCAAATAACCTGGTTGGCCCTTCACGCCAGGCTTTCCTTTAACGCCTGGACTGCGTTCAGACGGTGCTATTCCAGGTATGCCAGGGAGACCCTTTACAACTCCTTTCCATTTGCCAATACAGATGCCCCAGTCTTTGCTCCCTCTAATGAGCATTGCTCTTTCTCCTGCTGCTTCATCCAAAGTGCAACACAAGTCATGGGGCTGGTCGACTTGCTCCTTAGTCGGAAGGACATTTCCGCGTAGAAGGTGCGCGGTGCTCACAACATCGCCGACAGGGTTAATGACCTCTACGGAGGAGAACAACAACTCGGCGGAGTGCATCACCCGGCAGGTAAACGCTTCTTGTCCCCAAAAGTCGGATATCGGATGCAAAGACATTTCACTAGAAGCGAGGGTTTGGTTCAAAGAAAAAGGCGAAAGGAACAGTGCTGGTGAGCTCAAAATCGAGGCAGCTTCTCGGACTGGAGTGAAGTCCTCCTTTGGCAACACAGTAAATTCGTATTCATCTGGCCGATGGGATTGGACCACAGTAGTAAACCGAACAATCAGGTTTTCAGCGACAGTTAACTCGTGCGTTTCTGGTTGTGGCACCACGTTACTTTCCCAGCCAAATCTCGTGCGTTTCCGGTTGATGTACGACGCTACTTCCCCAATCAAATCTTCGGAACACTCGGCAGACTCGTCCATTAAATGTGTAAAGCAAGAGCAAGTTCCATGTTGCTTAATACGAACCTAACGGATTAAACCAGAAACACATGCCTATTCACTATGTGACTGTGATTTAAGGTTCGGTGATAACCAGATCTCGACTATTTTCTCAGGTTTTTAGCGCCCGTCTTGTGTTCAACTTAAAAAACGTTAATCCAGTGGATATTGAGAACTATTGCTTTAGCAACAGGAAGATTACTAACCGAGGAAACTTGTGATGTAGAATGACTTCGTGACAAGCTACGACCTTTTATCATCAGTCGTTCATAGAAAGCCTTTAGGTGTGTCATTTATTTTACTTCTTCACTGATACGTTAGTTTGAGGCCCTGGTGAAAAAAAACATAAAGTAGAAAAAAATGGAACAATTTAACTCACCCTCAAAATCTCTCTTTTCTTCTTTTTATATGTAAACCTTGCTAACACACCATTAGACTTTGTAAGTCTTGCAGTAGGTCCACGAACTTGCACCTTAAGCACTCGCGGGCCATTGACGACATCAATTTTGACGGTGTACGTTTTCGGTTTTGGGAGACCTTCAACTTCCAACGTGGTCACGTCCACAGTGTACTCAAATGCTGCATGACAACTGTAATCAATGGATTCTTTCGGCGTTGTGGCACAAAGAGGAGGCTCTCCGCGAAACATAGCTCCATTAACTGCAAATTGATGGCCCAGGTTTCCCCATTTCTCTCGTGTTACTGTTTCAGCCTTACTAAGTTTTGAACCAGGCTTTCGGTCGTTCACCGAATCATTGTGATTGAATAATTTACCCAGGATTTTCGTGGTGTCTTCTGTGTAGATTGCCGGATTAACCTGATGTGCGTGCCAAATAAGGTCGAAGTCATAGCACGGTACAAAAAACGTCTGTGGATTTTGCTGCTTTAGATAAAGGTGTAATTTGTACCTCTCCACCGCCTTCGTCAAGAATTTCTTATCCGCATAGTGAGGTAAGGACACCTGATAATTAAAAACCCGCTGTCGAGCACAAGCAGCTTCGACGTCATACTCAAATCTTGATTCGAAATGTGGCGTGTTGCTAACAGGGGCCGTCAGGTCAACCTCAAAAGGTTCCTCAGGATACAGCTCTTCCCATAAGGCCCTGGCCCTTACAAGCCCTCTCTGACGTTGCTCTCCGATGAGTATGTTGTGATCCAAGCGAGTGGAGACAATTTGATTGCAATCCCTCTGGTAATCGACGGGGGATAGCATGTGTACATGCCACACCCAGGCGATGTCAAGTGGTGCTGCGACATTCAAAGTACTAGACCAATTGTTGGTACAAGTGGCATGCCGAGCAAGCAAAGGCAGCCAGAGAAGTTCATACCTGAAGGGAAAGGAAAGAAATAAGGCAATTTTGCATTTTGTAATGAATCCATGAAGAGCTTTCTTCAACGAAAAAAGTTGTTCAATTTAGGCTAAGAGTGCATTCAATGCACTCAACGTAACGCTAACTACACCTTAAGATCATGCTTGAGCCCTCAAGTGTCGGGAAGAAATGCGGTGATTCAGTTTTTTTTTCGCCGAGAAACCGAGGAAACCGGTTTTAAGGTCTGGACTGGGTTAGTAATAAAGCAGTAGATTTCATGACAAAACATTTTGACGTGAGTCTTCTTCTCGAGAATTCCTTGTTTAGTAGGGTCTATGAAAGGAACAAAGCATACCTTCTGATTGCATTTCGAACGTGAGGACCGGCGTATAAACTTGGATAATCGTCCACGATCCGTAGGAACTGGCGTTCGGCAAGAGCAGCTTCCACTAAATCAATACCGAATCGAAGCCCAGGGGGACGGAACGTCATGGCTTACTTTGAGGTATTTCTAAACAGGGAGAAAATTAAAAGAGGAAAAAACTTAAAGAATCAATAAGCCATTGCTAAATATGTGGTTACACGAGGTACCTATTCCGATTTGTCTGCTATTTCTCTTGCGTTGCTATTATTTCAGTAGGAAGTTATTGTAATGTAAGAAAAAACAGCGTGATATCCGGCAAGACATTTAATGCAAGCAAGGATATCTCCTATTTTTTTCTTTGCTCCAATACACGTCGCTGGTAAGAAATAAAATTAATCTAAACCACAAATACAAACGACATCTAGCTATTTGCAAAATAACATGAAGCTAAGACCATTGTTTTACTCAAACATATTTCTTCGGTTCGCAGTCATTTTTCAGTACGTCATGAATGATTCTGCGATGACATCGATCGGATTCCTCTTGTTGTACCGTCACTTCTATTTCATAGCATGAATATCACAACAAAATTTGATAGAGTTTTGATGTAGTAACCGTACTGAAACAATAGCGGTAGCTTAAGTAACAATATTATCGATCTCTCATGATCTTGAACGGTACTGAACAGTTAGCAGAAATTTCCACTTGTATCGGTATTATCTGGTCTCACAACAGTAAGTGAAGGGAAAAAAAAAGAAAATTAGAAATGTATGGGAGAAAATTGAAGAGTCGTAATATCGTAAACTTATATCAAGGAATGTCTATTTTAAGGCTCAAAATAAATGTAAACCTACCTCACTTGCTGTGTATTGTCGTTTCTGTGGTTCTAAATGGCGAATTTGGGCGATTTAGTAGATTTTGCGTTGAGTATATACTTTACTGTATAATATACTTTACTGTATAATATACTTTACTGTATAATATACTTTACTGTATATATATATACTTCTATTAATAGAATATACTTTACTGTATAAGAAGTAAAGTAACACTCAACGCAAAATCTACCAAATATATTAATCGCTCAGAAACGACAATACGCAGCAAGTGAGGTAGGTTTTGCATTTATTGTGAGCCTTAACATGGACATTCCTTGATATAAGTTTACGATTTATTTACGACTCTTCAATATTCTCCCAGACATTTCTTTATATTTCGAACAAACGACCAGACACCCCGCTTGTGTGGGCCCCGAGTGATATCACTCTACCGACCGCCACTTCCATAGATTGATAATTTGCAAAGGTATGTAACAAGACCATCATCGTAAGAAAGTTAGAATTTGTGTTTTCGCGCTCGACTAAGACTGCTTACCTCCTTAGAATTGTAAACCTCCTATCTGTTTGCGGAAGTAATTAATTGGATGACCAAAATAAGGTGTAAATGTGAGAGAATCTCTCCTGAAACGAGAAACGTAAAGTACATGTAGCTAGTCAGGTATAAATTTAATCAAACACTCAGTCTTTTGTCTTTTATCCAGGTGACAGCTGCGGCTTGATCAAAGAACCTCGATATTTACCGTTGTTTTCCTAGACACTCAAGCCACTTAATATTTGACCCCGCTTTAGCGGATACGGAGACTGACTATGAAAATTAACTCTTATTTTTTTTCATTTTCGAATTTCCAAAATCTTCAAATTAACAATTGAGAATCATTTGAAAAAAAGTTTTGTCCAGTGTCAACTTAATATATTTTCACTTTAAACTGAAGGCAAAAACGGTCTTAAACAGACAAGTTCAATTTCTCACTTCCTACTTGTCATAATCGAGACAGACAAGGCCCGGCTAATGTGAGCACCAATTTATTCCTAGGCATTTACTCTTCGCTTGCAGATAACTAGCAGATGACGAGGAAAATGTCATTTCAAGGTTTCGCTTTTTAAAAGGTGATCCTCTATCATGCTCAAAATGACTCAGAGTTGTAAACAGACTGATCTTCGACCTTAATTACTTGTAACGTTACATGGCGAAGGATAGCTTCTATCTGAACATGCGATGAGTAAGTACCTAATGCATGCACTTCTTCATTGTCTCAGAGGATGGGTGTATGGATAAACTCTCGAGAAATGGCATCATGCGCAATTTAACTCAAATTAACTCAGATATCTTGTGTTTATATCATGCGCCACTGTGCTAGGCTGAATAGGAAGTAAATTTATTAACGGAGGACCCTGTCATATGACATGAGAACGTTATAATGCTCTAAAAAGTTCAGAGACTTTCTTTTCAAAAACTAAGTTTTCTCTTTAAACAGCAACTCATGATCGTCAGCCTGTTCTAAACGATTCACAGAAGAAATAACTGATTCGAGTTACTTATAATTACCGAAAGTTCAAGGAAAAGGAAATATAAACATGCTTCTTCCAGATTTAACGCCCATTTGCCATTTTTCTTCCAGATAACGAATCTAAGTTTTCGAGAGTCAACTCTGAAGTGATTGGCTCAGTTCTGTCAACTTTTGATCGCTCTACAATCACCGTTGTACTCCCAGCCACTCAACACACTTGATGCATGACTTTGCCCTTGTGGATACGGAAAACTGAGAAAACAACACACTCTTCTTTGCTCAATTTTTCTACAATCTCAAAATCAACGACAGAAAAACGCGAGAAAAGGCTGTTTTTACAGGTTATTTGAAAGACTTTTACTGTAGTGTGCAAATAGCTGAACCGACGACAAAGCTTCGCTTTTCTCCGCTTTCTATTTGTCGTAAACATACAGTACCTACGAATGGCAAATTAAGAGGTAAACGATACAGCGAAAGCCGTGAGGTGTGCTCCAGGAGATATTTTAGGACAGATTGTTCGGTTCGAAGTCATAACTCTGATATCAAAAAGTTTACTCACACTCTCTTTGTGACTTATGTCAGTGACTTATGTCAAGTGACTTATGTCAGTAACATTTTCTTCATAATTCTCTCGTTCTTAGAACAACAATACTAAAGATATACTAGAAACTGTCCCCGAAATCGATTAAGAGAGTGCGCCTCGTCTAAAATGGTAGTTTATGAAATGCGAGCACATTGAAATATTCAAAAATTCGGATCATTAAATTTCAGTTTATCTATTATGTTGGGAGAACTAAGTCTTAATAACTATTTACTCAACGAGTCAGCAGTTCGGATATTAAGACCACTTCGAAACTAACTACTCATTGAAGATTACAGCGCAAAAGTGAAAAAATGCGAGGTAATGTAGTCAAAACTATTATTCTTCATGAGGCTGTACAAAATGTGCTTCAAAGTGTTAAAGAGCCATTTTGAAATAGCCTCCTGAGCAGGAAGTTAGCTAATATAAATTCATTATCTATATCAAACGATTACTTGAAACAACCGATTCAAGTTACCGGGAAGTAAGAAAGGAAAAATACCAGTTACTGTATGATTCTCCTCTTTGAGCCTTAGTTCAGTGCTGAGATGGACTCCAGCCTCTCCAACGTCAATTTTCACTTGATCATCTTCTGTCAAGTGTTTGAACCATTCGATATTTAAGGTCGGTCATCGTCCACTTAGCAATTTAAGCCATTCAGGGCATGACTCAGCCTTTGTCAAGGCTCATAAAATTTGCAAGAGGAAGTAGGTGTTCTTTTAGCCATTCAAGGCATGACTCAGCCTTTGTCAAGGCTCATAAAATTTGCAAGAGGAAGTAGGTGTTCTTTTAGCCATTCAAGGCATGACTCAGCCTTTGTCAAAGCTCATAAATTTGCAAATTAAAAGTAAGTTGTTGTTCAATGAATCTCGAATTTGCTGGGTTTATTCCTATTGGTACTCTAATCACTCCCATTAGCTTGTACCCTTGAAATAAAAAGAAAAAAAACGGAATGATGCGACAATTCCCTTGGACTTCTCCTACAATCTCTCGGTATCCCTCTGTCGCGATTCACCGCAACGTGCGCTGGTCATTGTGCAAATGAGGGGGGGGAGGATGGTAGTGTGGATGGAACTATTAGCATCATGATGCTCACGAATTCATTCCTGTATGCTATAAATCAATAAATTGTAAACTTGATTTCTTTGTACTTGTATTTTGTCAAACCAACGAGGTGAAATGGTTAACTACTTTGATTGGAGCTCGGACTATAAGCAAACAATCTCTTCCAGTTTCTGCGCGTGATGATACAAACAAACCAAGTTTGTCTAGAACAAATACACCATAACGACGCGACTGAAACAAATTCTAAGGTCTTCTGTTTGTCCATTTTCACTGTGGTTTGTCTTTATGTTTAACTTCGTACACGAAAGGAAAGTAAACTTGCTAGAGTCAACGTACCAAAAATGAAGATCAGTGGCGAAGCTTATGGGAGGGGAGGGGAGTAGACCTTAAAGCAAGGCTGTGCGACCGAGCATACTTTTCGTTTTTAGTTAAAGCCATGATATCATTGCTCTTTAACTGAAGTCGCCTCTAGTGCAAACCTAGAAAGAGGAAATCCCCGTTTCTTTGCTGTGGAGAATAGCCGTCCGTCCGTTTTCATCTTCTTGCAATGAAACTTTCAAATTAATTAGTCATCTTCTGATGCAGAGCGAATGTTTTTAAATTTTTTTTTTTTTACACAGCGTTTATATTCATCGGTTCATTTTCAGCGGCAAATTCAAAATTTTTTCATTTATTGTTATCAATAAATAAGTAACTAACATCTCCCCGGCATGTATCAGCTTAAATCGTGAATAGCGAGCAAGAAAAATGTGTTTGTGTCGGCCGCTCAAATTAACTCACAAGTAGCGTAACAGTCACGATTACCTTGAACTTTAGATATATGTTCAATGATACTAAAGTATTATCGTTTGTCTCACGATGTGGTCACTTATGATACCTGTTATGTGAATCGAGAGGTTTGGACTGCATACGGCTAGTATTCATCAGGCGATAAGGTCCATCAGAAGGTGAAGACTAGCCTGAGTACATTTCGTTTCGACTGCACATTGTGCAGTCGAAACTTCGCCGCGATTCACATCATAAGTGAACACATCGTGAGACAAGCAATAGAATACCTTATCACAATCGTATTTTACCACGCTGAAAAAGCACAACCTTTTTATATGCTTACTTTAACCACTAAACCGAGATACAAAATGGCTA